AAATTTTTATTAACATTTAACAAACGTGTATACGTATTATACGTTTCGACCAATGATTTCGGTCCTTATCAATGCAAATACAAAAATACAAGCTATTACTAATACATAAATATAACAAAGCGTATAAACAGCGCTTGATACATATGTTGCATGGTCATCTAGTTATTGCAGAAGTCAGAGTTGCGAACAGGAAAAAGTCTATAATTAAGGCGTATTATAAGTGGTCAATTTATTTATTTGTTGCACTTATTTAGCAACTATTACTATCTTATTTTATCGTTCACGTGAAAAATTCTGCCGACGCCCATGGGTCGCTGTAGGTAAGAGGTATTGAGGGAAGGTAAAGGGGTATCAAAACTGAAAGAGGGAGAAGGGAAAGAGAGAGAATCACATGGTGTCTGCCGAGCGGTTATCGACCAGCTAGCAGCAGGGTGGCCATGTGCCCTCCAAATCAAAGGGCGCCATAGGTGGCTATAGCGTGCACACCGGTCGGCGGGAAAGAACTTCTTATTAGTTGTTGGACCCCGTTACCGAAAGTTGCGTTACAAATTACACGACCTCGCGAGATTGCGCCTTCGAGAATCCCGTCTGGACCGGCAACGTGCTCGGGAAGCAAATGCAGAACTGAAGGGGGTAGCTTGCGCAAATATTCACCCCGAAATTCGCCCGGCTTGAATGCGAATCGATCAAACTTCCGCGCTGTATCCATCGCCGCATCGTCTGCGACACGATCGTTGTTTACACAGTAGGGAATTACCTCGGGAAAAAAAAAGAAACGGATTAGGTAGTATTGAAATGTCATGTTGTATTCGCGTGATTTTTATTCAGATCAGGACTCTTCCTCTGTAACTTTTAGTATATATATAGCTACGTACTCCGGAAATGTCAACGATATTTTGCGCTTGAAGCCAACTGACATTAAAACTTTCTTCCGGATGATTATCGAGTAAATACTGCAGACATAATAACGTTTCGAATACTTTGTATTTCAAACGAACGTAATGATCAGATACATCCCCGTTCATTAGCATCCGTTTGTTAACATTGCTGTGTAAAGCTGCCTACATGCACAATGTTCACAGTGCGTATGTTGATACGATTCAGATATTTACCATCCACTTGAGCTCGACCCCTCGTGATACCGGAAATTTTAATGAAATTAAACCGCCGCCTCGGGTTGTCTTTTGCGGCAGGAGTAATTAATATTTAACCAGCAATTTAAATACAATTTGAATTTCTCATGTTTAACAACTTAATATGAGGAAATTAGGGCTACTACAAGGAATCGTAGTAGCTCTGGACTTGCCATAAAATTGAAACTCAGGGAAATTGGGGAAACGTGAGGAAAATTGAAGACACAGAGAAAAGTGAGAGAAATCAGAGAAAAGCAAGGGAATTTTGTAAAATTTTCGAAAAATAAAAATTCTCTTTTTAAAGAAGTTTAAAATGCGTACACATCATACATATTCAGTTTTGGAATATTATCAACTTAATAACCAAACTTAAATGCGAGCAATATCAACAACGTTAATATCGTAGACGCCCTGAGGGTCTTTTTTTATCCAGGCGAAATTTCGTTCTCAGATTTCTTGTGGCACGAATTTCAATTTTTATTAAATGAAAGTTTTAATATTTAAGTTAAATAACTATTTGTGTGACAACGTAGCAGGAATACTGAAAAGTAATCCTGAATTCTTTTGCATTTTTTGAAAGCTTAATAGAAAAAAAATTTGAACAAAAAAGACCCACAGTACCTTTGAAAGAACAGTAATTTACATTGCTACGTTAAATTATTCAGCAAAATACAATATTTGACGATTTCCAAATCAAGGCAAAAATACAAAAACTCTCAAAATATTGTTGAAAGCATCAGGGAAGATGATGAAATATTATCTAAAAATCGGGGAAAAGTTATAAAATGTTAGGAATACAACCCTTTTAGGTGACAACCCTGATTTCCTCATGTTGAGTTGTTAACATTTAATCAATCAATCGCGATCGGTGACGAAGGTGATTTTACATTCCAGCTAATTACTTATTCGGGTCACACCAGGTAAGAACTCGATTGCCCATCGAACTATAAACTCGGCGCCTTATATCTATTCGGGAACGGTCTCTCATCGTCCTTCGCCATCGACCACTGCCTCACTTCTGCTGCCTCTTGTTATTGATCATTATACAACTAGGTATACGTTGTATGCCTCTCTCTCTCTCTCTCTCTCTGCTTCTCTTTCTCTTTCATATGCCGGCAATCGCGAGCACGTGCCGCCATGCACAGTATCGTATCATTTTCGCCGCTAGCGTAAGCTTCCGAGCCAACACGAATGCAAGTTACAACGCTATCCGATAACGTCGTAACGCAAAACGCGGGCGGAATACATTTGCCGGGGCATGTCGCGCATTTATAGGGCTAATTGGAAGATTAATAATAGGAGGAATTTATGAGTTTTTCCGCGCGATTCCGGTAGATTAACCGCGCGCGTTGCGTCTAATCGCGTTTCGGCCACGACGAAAATTGCTCCCACCGGAGGCTATTTGTGTCGCGCGATATTCCGCGCTCAACTGAGATCGCTGACAATGCGTTTTTAACGCGTCCGCAACGTGAGGAACGCACGATTTCGCGCACACTTCGCGATTCGATACGCGAAAACTTTACGCGACGTATATTTACGTACGTTGCGACATTTCTCGCACGTAATATTTCACGTATGTCTTTCGCGCAAAGAGAATGCCGGAGCGAGCTTGACATTGGATGAAGTAAAGCTTGCTTTGTAGAATAAAGACGCAGGGAGTTATTCCTATATATATATTTGCTTTATTTGCCGACGACGTGCACTTGTAGAAACGTAAGTGATATATGTACGTTTGACAGAACCGATAAAAAGCTCGACAGTAATGTCACGAGGGACGTCCTGAAATACTTTCAAACTATTTTTACAGATATGCCCAATGGGTATTAGTAGTCATATTCTTCGATCAAACTTTTAGAGAGAAGAAATATATCAATATAGAAATAATTCCTAAAATAAAATTCCTGGGTTAAATAATTCATACATCGCTGTTTGACATACTTCCTATATTAATAGTGTTGTACGTAGGCGGTCGTATTTTTGACATTCACATCGGGCTAATTCACATCGGAAAGATTGGAAACATTGATGTATGCGAGCAGGTCGCATGTATTATTCGTCAAGTTCTCCGAAGATGTCCGGCTTCGATCTGGATTTTATTGTAAAACGCGACGCTCGGAAATATTCTGCGTTTGTAGTCGCGAATGGACTACAGGGAATAATATATGCCATTTATATTTTTACGAAGCTCCGCACAGCAACCAGATATAAATATCATGCGCGATGGAAAAATCGTGTACTTTGTGCAAATTTCGCGTCTCCGGTTTTTCTTATTCCCGATAATTCTAATTAGGAGCGACGTTTACCTAACCTGGTTATTTTACGGAAAAAACAGTTTTGTCGAAGTATTATAAAATTTAACTAGATACATATTTGAAAACAATTTTGCCTTATAATAAAAAAGTATCGAGATCGATAGAGTTTAAAAGTTTGTTATAAAGGAAAACTGGAAGATGTTAAAAATGGAAGATCAAAAGACACGTTTTCGCCACATTATACTATATTACTACCATAAAAGTAAAACCAGTGCAAAACCCGAAAAAAGACGCGTGCAATGAGAGGATAGTGTGAATCATCGCATGTGCCAATTTTGGTTTGGAAAGTTCTGTGGTGAGAATTTCACCGTTGAAGACGAGCCACGCTCTGGTAGACCAAGTACAGTGGATGATGAGCGAATCGAGACCTTGATCGAAAATAATCTGCACCGCACCACTTAAAATACCTATCGCAGTAGAATTTAGAATATCTAAATCGAGTGTCGAAATCAGTACAAGTAAAAAGCGAGAAGACTTTTTAGCCAACCCAATTATGTAGCGAAGCACGAACTGCAAAAAGTTTTCAACGTTCTAGCCACTAGTTTAACATTCTATATAATTACTTCGATGGGCAAAACAAAATTATCCTCTCGTAAGCATAGATATTTTTGTAGACACACTGAGTCTTTTTGTTCAGAACAAATTTTTTATCGTCTAGGCTTTCAAAAAATCTAGAAAAATTCAGAATGACTCTTCAACATCTCTGTTACATCGCCAAATAGTTATTTAACTCAAATGTTAAAACCTTTATTAAATAAAAATTGAAATTGGCACCAAGAAATTTGGGAGTAAAATTTCGCCTGGATCGAAAAAGATCCAGGCTTTCAAAAAATCTAGAAAAATTCAGAATTACTTCTCAACATCTCTGTTACATCGCCAAATAGTTATTTAACTCAAGTGTTAAAACCTTTATTAAATAAAAATTGAAATTAGCACCAATAAATTTGGGAGTGAAATTTCGCCTGGATCGAAAAAGATCCAGGCTTTCAAAAAATCTAGAAAAATTCAGAATTACTTCTCAACATCTCTGTTACATTGCCAAATAGTTATTTAACTCAAATGTTAAAACCTTTATTAAATAAAAGTTGAAATTGGTAACCAAAAAAGAAATTTGGGAGTAAAATTTCGTCTGGATCGAAAAAAATCCAGTGAGCCTATGAAGGGTTATCTTCAGATCTGCATGTACCTAAATTTTTAGATTTTAGCAAAAAACTGTCTTTCCGTGTATCCTTCGCGTAGCTAAGTTCACCTCTCGCGAACGAGGTGAATCGACGTCGGCAAGTCGGCGGGTTAAGCGTTCGCCAGTCTGAAAATTGTGCTACTACGCTGCTACTGAGCGCCGAATTACCGCAATCTGCTAATAGATTCACGTGATCGGTTCCGTGGACCGTGCGCAGCACGCACACGTGGGACACGCGTTTCTCTCTCTCTCTCTCTCTCTCTCTCTCTCTCTTTCTCGTACGACGATCAGTCCTTCGATCACAGCGTAGTGGGGCATGTTACGAACGACGTTATACAGAAGTGGCCACGTGAGTAGGAGGAAACCGGAGGAAACGTTTCAGTGTCGAGTCAGCCGTGATTGCGTCGCCGTTTCGCCGTCCTCGTCCTCGTCTTCACCGGCCTCATTGTCGTCATTGTCGTCATTGTCGTCTCCGTCGCGTGACTCTGATGGGACGGCATCGTTAAGACACACGTTCTCGAGATGCGCGTTTCAATCGTCCCGCCCGATTCCACGAGACCTCCCGTGGGTCAACTGGGTCAGGTGCCAAACGAAGCGGAGCGGCCTGATTAAATACCTCGGAGAGACCCGGTTCCGAAAACGGAGTGCTCCTCTTTTTAGCTGCGAGCAATTAGAAATACGCCCGGCGCGGCGGATCGAGCCGCGCGTGCTGAAAAATTGATTAGCGCCATGACAATGAGTGCGTTAATTTGTCTAGCTCTACATTGCACGCGAAAGCCTATATACGGGTGATAAGTGGTTCTAGTTAAGGAAGCTGCATTAATCGATGCATTTATCGTGCTCCGGTTTCCGTCGAGTCGAGCCGGTTAGTATAAACGATTGAATATATATATATAGCGACTGCCGCGTGCGACACATTTACGGGCTGGAACGTTGAATGAAATTGCAATCGGTATTCCAAGGCTAATTCCTATGCCTTGGAGAAAATTGCACGGGCAATTATGCGCATGGTAGATAGTTTAGTAAATATACCTCAAATGTATTCCAAGTATTTAACATTAAGAAATTCTCGATAACAACAATCACACATGTTTTGTAACTCTTAAGGTCGCGTATAGTTTCGAAACGAGCACGAGATATTACTTGTAGAAATGTGATTCCGTGATTTGCACGTACATGTTTCTACATGTAAGAGAATAATACAGTGAAATTGCGCCGACAGTACGAGGTACAGCTAGTGGAGATTTGCAAGATAGGTGAAACACCAATAAAACCGCAAAGTTGCAGACCGCGATAAGCGGATGCATCACGCGTTTAAATATGCGCGTGAGACTTGGAAAGGTAGATAAACTATTGAAAAAAATCTTGTGGAAATTGGAATTCCAGCAGATTTAACTAGAAAAGTACAAATCAGACGCTTATAAAAAGAAAAGACAATTTTGTTGAAATATTAAAAATTTTTGATGAATAACAAATCTGAAAATAATTTTGTTGGATTATCAAAATAATTATATAAGACGCTCAAGCATGATGAGCATATGTTACAAAAAAATTTTTTGATATTCTGGCAACCATCTTGAGCGTTCTACATAATTATTGTGATGGTCTAAACAAAATTATTTTTAGATCTGTATACTGAGAGAAAAAAATAATTCAAATAACCATAAATTTAACTATAATTTATAGTCATTTTTTGGGACAACTAAATTTATAATTATTTTAACCATATGAATTATAGTAACTTAAACACTGAATTATGATTATAACAATCGTAATATTTATTCATTCAACTAATTGTATGTTGTTATCTTACACATAAATCATATTTGCATATAGTAAATTATACTATAAAATATTGTAACTATATACATATAAGGTTATTGTTACTAACATTATAGCAATAATAATTATAAAAATGATGCTCATAACCATAATTATTTTATCATGTAATTATAGTCACAAATACGATATACTTTTCTCTCAGTATATGTTAAATTTTTAGATACTTTAACGAAACCGTTCTTTTCATATAATTAAATCTACAATTTTGCTGCATTATTTATAAACTTAGCTAGATGCAAATCTGAAAATAATTTTGTTTGGACCATCAAATTAGGATTCTCAAATTGATTTTTAGACTATCAGAACTGTTTGCAGCATTGTCAACAACGCCGAAATGTTCTACATAATTTCATTTTCAACAGAAACGTTTCTACATAATTACATTATTTTAATGGTTCAATAAAATTATTTTCATATCTGTACCTCTAACTAAATTTTGACGTACTTAGGAAATCCGTTCTTTTTGTATAATTAAATCTACATGAAAAGAATAATTTTTCTGTAATATTTAAAAATTTAGCTTGATATGCAGATCTGAAAATAATTTTGTTTGAACCATCAAAATAATTATGTAGGACGCTCAAACTAGTTGCAGGAATATCAAAACTTTTTCCAGCATTGTCAACAATGCTTCAATGTTCTATGTAATTATTTCGGTGGCTCAACAAAATTATTTTCAGATTTGTATTATATCTAGCTAAATTTTAAGATATTTTTTAGCAAAATTGTTCTTTCCAATGTATCAAATTCGACTTTCCAGTCGGGAGATAACTAGAAATTCAATTACCAGAATTTTGATTTATATGATTAAAGTTCGTTTCGTTCGTACTTCTTGTTGTACAATTAGAACATTTTTCTTAGTGTAGGTAAAGTCAGTTTTCCGGTTTAATGCAAACGAGATTGGCTGCGAGAACTCGGAGCATTAACTCGATAATGAATGTTCGCGTCCCTGTCGAAGCCGTTAAAATTTCGGTTAGTTCAGTTCCTCGACTCTAAAGCACAGAGATTTAATTAATCGAAGTTGGAAGGATGTGAAGTGCCGTGGGAAGTGCGCGATATAAAAGTTCCGACCAAGTTGGAAGCGCGGTCTGGCGATATCGCGGCGTTTCTACTGAGATACGTGAACACAATCTCATTACACACCGCCATTTGCGTTGGCCGCGTGCACCTTGAACAACGGAAAAAAAACGCCGCGTAATAATCGTGACTTGGATTCAAATGAGGGATTTGCTGACTAAGCTCATTTCTCATTAATAGCGCGCGAGAGAGAGAGAGAGACGAGAGAAGCTCACCCCCTAATCTTAATAACGGGACAGCCTTTGCACGAAACGTAAAGTAAGGATTACCGAACTGATTCGAAATATAAATGTTTTACCCTATTAATGTCACTTTTTATACAGAGTGTCCCATTTTAACATTAACATCGAATTATATCTTGAAAAATATAAAAGATATGAAAAAATGTTCCAGACAAAAGTTGTGTAATCTAAAAGAGAACAAATAACGATAAAATTAATTTTTGAAAAATCGATTTTTCCGAAAGTTTTACTATTATTTATTCTCTTTCAGATCATACAGTTTTTGTCTGAAACATTCTTTATATAAGTAATGTTAAACAAAGTATCTTTTAAGGCAGTAAATGTGAATACATAACAACTAGGAGATAAAAGCCCTAAACAATCAAGTTGGATTTTTTAGTACTTAAATAATTCTGTGTGAATTTATATTTATATATCTAATCCTGCAAATTGTGCATCAAATTTAATTTTCAGTCTTAAAACGCATTCCTAACAAAGCACAATAGTAATATCACAAATTAAATTGACAAGCAATTTAGTAATATTGATGTTCATATACACAAAAACATATCATTATATTGCTAAGAAAATTGATTACTCGATTTATTTTTTTTCTTTTAAGTAACGGCTGTCTTCAACAAACAATTTTTAAAGATATTCAGAACCTGATGCTAATAACCATTTTAAAATCTGTTAATAATTTTATTTGCGAAAAATATTACTCTTCAGCCGGAATTCGAAAAATATTACTTTATCCGGATTTCCTGGAATTTCTCCATATTTTATATTTCTCTTTGGAATTGCGTATCTTACATTTTTCAATATCAGAGTTAGATATTTCGATATCGGAGTTAAAATTGTACACCCCATATATGCGAGTCTGAAACATTTTGTTCGTTTTTATATTAACACACCGAAAACAGTCTTGTTGCATTGGAATTCTGATAAATTCACAAAATACAAATCAGCTTATAATTAAATTTATAATTAAATTAAATTCTAGTCGAGATAACAAGACATTCAATTACGATAACCCCAGAATTCTAATTTATACAATCAGAGTTCGTTTCGTTTGTACTTCTTGTTAGTACAACCAGAGTATTATTCTATAAGTATATAAGGACGTTCAATAACATGAACGCGTCTCTGATTAAATCAGACGACAAATTGCCTCGTTGATCAATGCCGCACTGATTCGTAAACTGATTTAGATTTAGGAACCGATGATCCTATCTAGATTATCTGGCGGCACGATTAGTTGGTGCGAGCTGATCAGCCATGAAATTCTCATGCGAGCGAAGTATGGAAATGAAGCATGGAAATGAAGCAAGAAGAATGCCCGAGCTGAGCCACTCATTTCTCGCATTCTAATTAGTAATTTATACAACTCCCCATGGCGCGATGATGTCTGTCACATCCGATTGAAGCTCTGATTTCGAAAACTTGCGTAACAATACGAAATTTCTGGTGAATAAGACGGCCATTGCAATTATTAATCAACGAGACCAATAATCAATCGAAAACAATTCTAAACGGAGACCGATCAATTGTGCCGAAATTTCTTGCGTGACGATCGTCACGTTGGATACTCGAAAAGGAATCGTTAAGGCTGAATAAAATATATATGATATATTCTATTTCCAACACATCTGCATATTTAATTATTTTCCTCGTAAACCAATTATCATTTCAACGAAAAGTTGCATATCGCGAACAGTGTAATTACCAACGACAATTTATTTTTGCTAAAATCAATAATAAACTAATATTAATTTTCAAAACTGTACACTACTCTTCTGGAAAATGATACGTGAATTTTGCGATAATGTAATTCAAGATTTAAATTAAAAAATATTATGCACCGAGAGAACGATTTTTACTGAAGCATCCAAACATTTAGCTGGATACAGATCCGAAAATAATTTTGTTAGACCATCAAAATTTTGAAGTAGGACACTCAAATTGATTGCTAGAATTATTTTATGTTAAAATTATTTTCTGTAAATAAAAAGGTCTGTTTTTTATTTATCCCGCTAAATTTTTGATGCTTCAACAAAATCGTTCTCTTCCTGTGCGACTACGATAAATACACAATGGCACTTATTTTATAACTATGTAGATGGCACAATCGATACGCTTTTACTGCGTACTACTTGTCACTTTGAGACCTTGTTGGTACTTTACAATAGAAAAGTCTTTTAAAAACTTGACACATATTTGAATGGATACCATTAATGGCAATGAAACATTTTCACGCAGGTGACGGAAATTCAAATAACCGATGTGAGTAAATCCTGTTATTGTATCAACGATATTGCGAATTTCAATTATATTGGACTATTCGTTCACAATTTTTTTTTTCGTATCGATCAAGCATTGTGTCGTTATAAAATAGATGCGTTTAAGAAACCTTATTGGCGCCTCATAATTTATGGAGGAAGCCACATTACGCTGAATTAAACGCATTTGCCACGGTACTTAATTACGTCGATCGATCAGTGACAGATCATCACTCCTTCCGCCATTTAGTTAAATCGAAATTTAACTGTTTGCTCTTTCCGTCTGACTGCATGTCTAATATTTACCAATTCGATTTACCGTTTTACCGCTGGTTGCGAAAGGTAATCATTTTCTCGCGTACCTCACGTTTCTTTTGGTAAAACTATCATTACGGTGATGGAAAGTCGTTTCACGTCGGTTACTCGAAATTTTCAGACAATCTGAAATCTTATCAGAAAATTGTCAAATAAGTTTGAAAGGACTTCGAGTAAGAGAGAAAGAAAGCGAAGTGACATTTACATTTAAATAGATTTTTAAATATCTCTTATCATTAATGTAAAAAAGAAGAAAACATTTCGCGATATCTTTTTTCATCGAAATGAATATTCAATCCATTCCGACATTACTCCAACATTCCTAGAATAGTAGTAAGGAAGATTCTATTCAAGTTCTACAATGAAATGTCAGAGTAATGTCGAAGCGCGACGAATAGATGGCCAGATTGGTTTCACATTAATAATTGATTCTATACAATCAGTAACGTCGTGACGTGAATCGATTCTTAATTGGTGAATTTCCACCATTTCCTTCGCCATTTTTATTCGCTACTAAACCGCGTTTTCCGTTGTGCAAGATAAAGACGTAAATCTTATCAGTGGAGGTTTTATTTTTTTCTGCTGCTGACGTCGCCAGGCAAGGCGAGAAAGAGCGAGTTTGTGACGGACGATATAGGAGAGACGGCGTTAAATTCTTGGTGTCGTGTAATTTAGAGCGGCCATCCTGTGTATGACGTTGCTTACGTAAGAACGTTGCGATAGCGACGCGTTGAAAATAAATTAGAAAAGGGAGCATTTTCGAGGTATGTCGTGTAATGTTCAAAAGACTGTCATTATCAACTCTCAAAGAGTATACTTACTGTCGCATTCTTCGTTTAGCGAAGTGATGAATATAGAAAAAGGGCGGTAAAGAAAGAGCTCAAATTTATATATTCAACACTATATATTCAAGACAGAAAGGATTGTGAAAAATAGTTCATAATTAAATAATAAAACATTTATTGAATTATTTGCACGAATTATAAACAAGACGGGCGCGTCAATGCTGTTGCTGGAGATCTTGCTCATTTTTTATTTTATTTCTACAATTTTCTACTTGTTATCGATGTAAAAATCCCTTTTCAATTTCCGCACCTCTCATTACACTATCTATTGCATTTCGTTCTCTCATTTTAATATGTTGTTATACTTAATACACTTCAATATGACTTAACACACGTCATTCGTACTTTGTGTATATTATAATTGTGAAAAATTATTCCATACAATAACTGTCTTAAAGGATATCCAAAGTCTATATACATCATAAGGATGCCTTCAAGATGCCGCTCAGAGAACTGTGCTCTATATCTTTTTAAATAAATTTATATATTCAGCACTAAACACACGGAAAGGATCCCCCGAAGAGTACCAGAGATAAGAATTAAACGAGTTACTCCTAACACGTTATCATACGTCGTAAACATTGTTGAACATCCATTGTTTCTTCGCGCTAAAGAGGCTATAAAATCGCAAGGGGGCGATACGTCACGTCGAATGGAAGACAATGGTTATTAATGACAGACGTTAATGTCGGCCATTTGATATCGGGGGAGAAGAAATAGTAGCTAGGCAATTGATGCACTTCTCTCTTTCTCGCGGAATACGAGAGTCCAAGTCGCGAGAGACGAGTTTTGTTAGAATAGAAAGACAGGAAGGCTCTGGAAATTACGACGCTGCCCATGGGATTCCCCGGTTTCACGCGCATCCCGGGGGGGATGGCCGCAAACACCCACGTATCTCACGTCTCGTTCGTTAAATAAATCTCGAACGTTATCGTCGCTCGTTAGCGACGGCCGATGGTCCTTCGCTTTAAACGTCGCATCGCTTTATCGCCAAAGTCCGCGGGATCCTGACGGATGTTCTTCCGGCGACCGCGCTATCGGCTTAGTCGCTACGCCTGCGCCCTCCTCTTCCTCTTCTTCTTCTTCCTCCCTCGCCACCCCCCCCCGAGCGAATCCGGGTCTTCGGGAAATGCCACATGACCCACGAAAATAATTAAACCTCAGCGGGATCGTCCCTTCGATCGCACTGAGAATCGGCCCGGCCGGGAGAACCTTTGCGCATGTTTGCCAAAAGCGGATCCAAGCGTGTCACGGAATTATAATAATTAAATCCGCACGGATGGCCGCAATTAATCCTGATTATCGATACGCAGACGGTGATCCGAGGGTTCATTCGCGCACGTCGAGAATTTTAATCAGTGCAAAGTAGTGTAATATATGTATATATATATGTATATTACAGCGGTTACATACCGTACCGCTCTATAGATGTAAAAACCTCACGAGATATCCGAGTATTTACGGCAGCTAATTACTTTTATGACAGGGCAAGAAGCAGTTCGCGATTCAGGAGAGGCAAAGGAAACGACGGAACAGCAGACACATGTAGCATTCGGGTGAGTGAGCACATCTTTGTTTCAACCTTCTGCACCCGGCGGGCTATTATGACAGCTCCGACGTTTTCCGCTCGAGATCACGCGGAAACGAGATCATCCGCGCGCCGAGCTTTTAATACGGACAGGCGGAAAATGCGTTTCAATGTAACATCGGGTTTTAATTCACGGACCTCTCCAACGGTTAATCTTCGCATTTCGTTTCGTTCGCCATTAAATTTACATTTTATACGCGTATAAAATTCGCATGATATACATTTATACACGCTAATGCCCGGCGAATGGAGTGCCCCATCTCTACCGGAATGGGATTGAACTGTGAATCAGATTAAAATTGGAAACTCACAGTCCGTAGGAGATATGAGAATAGAACGCGAGAGTAACTGCTTCCCGCCAAGTAGGAAAGTTGGTGGAACAAGTTGAGATGTGGTACATTTTTAATCTATAGCCCGATTCATCTTCCACTCCCATTCTCCGAGTGAGATTAAAAACATTAAATACAGCTTAATGCGCGTTTTCAAATATTTAATCGAAAATCATCCGTTTTCCTATTTTTTTATCGTGTCACACTCCGTTAAAATCACAATTAAGCTAAGATATTATTCTTTTTCTCACTATTATTTCTGAACGTTCCTTTTTTTTTCGTGACCTCAGGCATCAGTATAATGAAGCCGTCCATGAAAATGGGAGTGATCGCCTTGATAGGGATCTTCGTAGTCTTTTATCAATATCTCCTGTCCACCGGCATTACTTTCGATCAAGTAACGGTCTTCAATGCCGATACTTCCGCGAACGCTGCCGAGGATTTGCCGGTCGGTGAGGAGGATAATAGCGAAACCCCAAGGCTCGCCGAGGAAATGGTAAAAAATAATTATTAATATATTTATTATGCCATATACCGAGATTTGTTTTCTTAGAGTGAAACCCATCTTACCAAAGTATTTATTAAAGTAATTATAGGACCGTATAAATCCCTACTAAGCTTTGCGATTTTTTCTAATTTTTTGTTGAGTCCATAATTGGAAATTAGTGATTACATTCAACAGAGAGAACATTTCTAAATATTAATAAAAAATATGAGACATTTTCAAATATTTATATATGAATGCTGTGAAGATAAAAAAAAAGTAATATTAAAAAAATAACATAACGTATTGGGTACATATACACTCAATTTGACGTATATTTCCCTCTTTTTCATAAAAAAAAGTATTAGAAAAATGGAAATCAAAGTAATTCAATATTATTTTTATAAGATTATAAGTTTATGAATATATTGACAACACACAACATGTTTATTGATATATAAGAATACGCAAAAAATTATTTTCCAAAAAATGGACTTATCTACCTATTTATTTATCTACATATTTCCACAATGTTTAACAGATGAATTAGAATCTGGAATAACAAAAGTACAAAAAGAATGTTACAATCGATGTGTACAATATGTCTATAGGTTGACCATATTGGTTTAACTTACAAAGAATTTCCTCTCTTTGATTACGAAACGTTGTAACAAAAATATAAACTGAATATATAACGTTATAAAGTACGAATACAGAGCTACAATAACATAAACTATTGAAATTAATAACCATCTTTTGGTAGTTGTAGAAAACAACCAATAATTACTTACGAAATATTATATTACATATCATAACCACGACAGCCTGCATTTTGTTTTATTGACGATAACAGAATGAACAAATTGAATAATAAGCTGATGCAATCGAATTAAACGGACAACCTGCACAAGCTATTTATTACATATTGCTATTTATTGGATTAATCATGTAATTACCTACAAACAGCGAATAGGGTGTTTTGAATACACATCCAATGGATTAGTTATCTAATTGTTACATATCAATTAATTGTTATCACGGTACTTTATCAGACGAGTTATGGTTCTTTTTTTGCAGATTCGATACGCCGTGTACCAAGTACAAATCACGAACGGCCTGAGTCCGGAAATAAGCTCGATGCTCGTGCAGGAACTTATCAATCAGTTAAGCGAAAATGTCTCGGTGGCCTCCAGAAATCATTTCAAGTCTCCGCCGCAATCGCAACCCTCGGCGATGGCGATACACAGGGCGGTAACGCCTCGTCCGTCGGTTCCTTCCGAGGAATCGTCCGAAGAACCCCTATACATCATCACACCCACATATCGAAGACCCGAACAGATCCCCGAACTCACGAGGATGGCCCATACCTTGATGCTGGTCAAAAATATACATTGGCTCGTCATCGAAGACGCTACCGTCGCTACCAAGCAAGTTACCACATTATTGGAAAGGACGGGCTTGAAGTTCGATCATTTAATCGGTAAGTGAATTTTTCAGATATAAATCTGTTGCAAAATCACAGATGATAGCTGATGCAATATAATAATATACTAAGAATGGTATTCACAGTTCTTATCTTAAAATTGTCTTAAATAATGTCTTAAGATGCTAATACGACCCTTTGATTGGTTTCTTATATTAAGGTTATACTTAAGACAATCTTAAATATAAGAATCTTCTATGAATATCGGTCTAAGAAAAATATTCTGATTGAAAACGAACCGGTTGGCGAACCATTATATATCAATCAGAAAAAATTCCAGTTTTCTCAACTAAAAAATTCTAGAAAATTCTAATTCGTCGTATTTTCAACCAGAGTTTTAATTAATCCATTCAGACATTTTTCTCAAGCGCGAGAGTGACATGACAGACAGCGCACTGATCTATCATGCCAGAGATACCAGGTTCAATTCCAGTAGGAACCAAAATATTTATGCTCCTCTTGGAAAAGGTCGGCAACCTCCCGAGAATATCCTTGTCGCAGAAATATCTTTCGAAAAATTCGCCGTTCGGAATCGGCATTAAAACTGTAGGTCCCATATGCTCAATTGAATAATCAGCACGTACACCACAAGCATATGAGAGAGATGTAACACAGCCCTACTGGAAAAAATCACGCCACATATAGTTACATGATGAAATCATGTAATTAAAACACATAAATCGTGTAATGAATTGTTCCAAATCAGTACGTAATTTTTTTAAATTACATTTGAAAGTCACAAGATATGTTTTTTTTTCTTCTATCAATCATTTCTATCATTCAATTCTTTAAAATTTGACAACTATAAAATCACATGATAAATAAAATTATTTCTAATATTATGTGATTTTTCAAATTATGTTATTTTAAAAAATCACGTACTGATTTGAAACAATTCGTTACGTGATTTACATGTTTTAATTACATGATTTCATCATGTAACGTTGTGATATGATTTTTTTCAGTAGGGAGGCCAGAGGTCTGAGAAGAAGATATTTTTCTCGATATATATGAATGGTTTGTGTATTATATTTCCGCAGCTCCGATGCCGGAGAAGTACAAGCTTAAAAAGGGCGCCAAGCCGCGAGGGGTGTCGAACAGAAATCGTGGTTTACAATGGATCAGGGCGAACGCCACAAAAGGTGTGTTCTACTTCGCCGACGACGACAATACTTATGATATTGAACTTTTCGACGAGGTACGACCGGTTACAAGTATTTACTTCGCTAAAGATCTGAGATTTGTTGTTAAAAGATTGATTTTAACATGCTTGTGTTCAGATTCGCAAGACAAAAACAGTGTCGATGTTTCCGGTGGGATTGTGCACCAAGTTCGGGCTGAGCTCGCCGATCTTGAAGAACGGAAAATTCGCAGGGTTCTATGATGGTTGGGTAGCTGGACGGAAGTTCCCGGTGGACATGGCCGGATTCGCCGTGAACGTCAAGTTCCTGCATCAGCGGCCGAACGCCACCATGCCGTTCCGCGCGGGATACGAGGAGGACGGGTTCCTGAAGAGCTTGGCACCGTTTGAGCCACGGGACGCCCAACTGCTGGCGGACAATTGCACCAAGGTGCTAGCCTGGCACACACAGACGAAGAAGAACGAGCCGAGCGCGCCGTTGGACATGAAGCTTTATGGCGCGACGAATCTGGTGAAGCTCAAGCAGCAGATAGTATGATGTCGGCCGGGACAACGAAGATGCGTGAACTCGAACCTGAATCTTGTGTGTAATCCCGCCCCTCCTTCGCACTAGTTCATCGGTGTCACTCCAGGGGAATTCCTAGGTGCGGAAAATTGTGCGATTCAGTGCCTAAAAGTATATATCTACCCTCTCTCTCACGGCGAGAGCGGGAAAGTCGTTATTACCTTTAAGCATAGCCGGTAAAACGAATCGTTTTTTTATCAGCTTTTACACATCCGCAACAAGTAGCTCGCCCCGAAGACGCCCCTTGCTCCGAGAAAGAATATCGCGGTGGAGAAAAAGAATAAAATAGGACCCTCGGGGCAACGTTATGACTCGATACAGTGCAGATAGAAATTTACGCGTAGAGTCCGAAACCATCTATTACTGTTACTTTTTGACATTCCCATTTTCGTGAAGCGATGCACGGAAAGATCAGTTTTGTTAAATCTAAAAATTTAGCTAGATACTGAAGATAACTTTGTTTGAATCTGCACCAAAAAGAAATTATGTAGAACATTTAAACTGGTGATTACAATGTTAAAACGTTTTGCAGCATTGCCTTCAAAATTTTACATTGATTATTTTGATAGTCCAACAAATCAAAATTTTCTTGCTTCAGTAATATTGTTCTTTCCGTCTATAAATGCGAAAAGGAAGATGAATTCCTTTATTAATAATACTAATTGATACGTGGGATGGTGATGTTCGTTAAGTGAAAATCGAGGCAAGATTTCGAAGTATCTTTACGCGTATAAATGTTGAAGTCACGCACTGTACAGATCAACGACCAAAGAAAGCAAATGAGTCACTCGCTGTAACGTTATAAACTCTTACACTTATTTTACTCTACCTGAGGGATACGTCCCAAATTCTATAAATAGATACTCTATTCTATTCCAATCTATTCCATAGCGCGAAGTTTCATTCCTAAACTTGCTCTAGTATGACACGAGGTCACAAATGATTCGATCAAAGAGTGAAAATATCTGGGCGATTTTACGCCCTCCCTTTAATTCACGCTGATCGGTCTCCTAATGATGAACTTGACATTGCTCGTTAATCTAATTACCAAGTATAATGTTTAACGATCGTCATTTAATCCTTATCCTGCCTCTTAATGCGATTAGCAAGTATAGGCGATTGCGAGATAAAGAATTAGAGCAAGTCCTTTAATAAGAATTCCTCTCGTAGCTTCGAAAAATTTCGAGTGAGAGGATAAATGTTTAAAAGTCGAAGCATGAAAATCGAAGTTTAGCTTTGTCAACAATAGAGAAATTATTATTTACACGAGGATTTCTGATTCAAATATGAAATTTTCTTCGACAGGTATTTTCGATCGAAGAATATCAAGTTAAAATGCACGAGATACCTTTGACTTATTTAGCCTTCAACATAAATCAACATAAATCAGCATTTAAAAAAAATGTCCAACATGCAGTATGCGCATAATTATCACAACTTAGACCGAATAAATTTTTCAGGTTTTTCGAAGAATCTGAAAAATTGATTTCACGACTGAATATCGTGGAATGCCTATATCGTACGAGTAGCATTCGCCGAAACAAGCATCCTCTCCTGTATTTGACTGAATAGAGATACTTTTAATTCTCGAGTTGCGCTCGTCGCTGCTCTTTCATTTCCTTTAGCATAAGCCATTTATTTCATTGCGTAACGTCGATTTACGAAATCATAAGCAAAATAGCGAATTATAATCAAATAGAGCGTTTCCGTTACCAGTGTACTTGCGTGCGTGTGCGTAGAAAATATGTACTTCCTAGAAAGGTATAATATTTAATGCTACGTTTGATTCCTCTTGCACGGTTCGCGCGAGTTAAATAGTACTAAAAAAAAAGCTAGGAAATAAAAAAGGTGTGCACTGAGTGCGAAATCCAAAGAATCCGTTTCGATTAATTGCCGATGAAATCATCAGAATAATATCGAATCAGGATTGTACAGTGGAACCTTGATAATTCCGAACGTCTCCATTACTCTAACATATCGTTGTAAAAATTCGACCAATATTGGATCAAATATTATCTATAATTTCCTGTGATCTTACTTATACAAATACTTCGCGTATGTCACTTATTATTTCTCTAATCGGAGAATAATGTAGTTATCTTCAATTATACAATTTGTACATTAAAAAAAATCAAAGTTAAAAATTAGTTACATAATGTTGTAATTAATCGTGGATCAAAGTATTAATTAATTATCAGTCAGCTTAATTAATTCGGCATTAGGAGTTCTGCTGTACGAACACTCGGAAGACTGCGGAAAAATAAAAAAAAAATTTTCTATTCTTATATGTATATTTAGTAGCACTTTCGATTGTATATCTTTAATATCGATATTGGAACATTTCATATCATTAGTTTGATCTGGGAGTCGATCATGTAACTCTCCCAACCGTGAAAATGTGAAATTGTTCACGTGAACCGTGGTGGCGAAAAGGCGGAAACCTACGGAATTAATAAATGTACTTTGAAATTTAATAGAAGTATGGCCATGTTATTCGTCGAATAGATTATTATTTCAGGAGATAAATTATGTTGAAATAAAAACGGACTATGAATACCGGCCTAGAAACCAGCGCATTCAAACACGCTATGCGTGAAAAGTTTCATGTGAAATTTCGATGAGTGAAAAATGAAAAGTGAAAGATTGAAGCGTAAAAAGTTTTACGTAAAATTACATGATTGACCCCCAGGGTAACTTAAAATATATTCCTAATTCCCAATAATTTCTTACGACACATTAATTTCCGAAAGTGCTCTACTTTATCTACTTTCGTCTAGCGTGTGACGTTTTATATAGACGTGATTCTAGCGTATGGATGATAATAATTTATCGCTTATGTTCTATAAGATTATATACATATATATTTATATATATGTATATATATTATATACATATATTTATATATGTATATTATTGCTGACACCAAAACTCAAAAAATTACGGTATATACATAAAATATCTATAGGATAATTGCACTATTTAGAAATTGATCAAATGTCGAAAAAGTGAAATGGCGTTAAATTTTTCCTCATTCACATATCCTGCCAGAATGTGCGGAAATTTGTGTATAAAAGATATGTTATTTAAATTTTAAATTGATTTATATGGATATGCGGTCCGCAATAAACTTACAACAAGCAATATGTGCGATTCTCGCGCAGTTAGATTGTAAAGTGAGAAAGAAAGAGAATGCGCGCGAGAGAGAGAGAGAGAGAAAGCGAGCGAGCGAGAGAGAGAAAGAGAGGAAGAGAAATAGATAGATGAACGATTATATTTTTGTTTTATCAGAATATGTAGGAAGTAAGACGTCTTGGTTCTAATTTTGTGAAATCTTAGAAAGTACTTAGCGCGTTGATTTTAGACGGTTTGTAATATACGATTGTATTATTTTATAATATCAGTTCTACGTGATATAGGCGGATAAAAACGCCTCCATCGCGAGTAATGCTCAAATTTCCGGCAATCCAGAGGCTGAGTGTATATGTGCAAGCCGGAAATTGTATATATATATAAATCTTTATTTCTAAACAAAATAATTAATCTTTTGTTATATATATATATATTTATATCACATCCAGGTCTGAAAGAATTGGAGAAGATAGGAATACTTTTTCATGGAATGAAAATTACAGTGCACACATATTTCCCTCGCTATTTTTTTCTATTATAATAAGAATGATTTAATTCGTGTTTTTTCCGATTTAGTATTTTTGCAAATTTGGAGTATAGACTCAAAATTGTTCTGATGTGTATAATATTCTTTTTTTCATTTTTGCGGAATTTACTTACAAAGATATTTTTGTATCAGGCTTGATTTTCTCGAGACACAATTCTTACTATCAACAAAAAAAGAAATTTAGAATAAGTGAAGATTCACAAATTGCATCTCGGTACCTCTTACTATAATGTTACGCGCAACATTTATATTCAATAAGGAAACGATAATATATGACAAAATAACGAAGAAATGTAATAGAAGTATAAAAAGTCCTCGGTCGTCGATTGAATACATTTAATATACCTATTGTGCGCTGACGATAATATCGTGCCGTAAAATTATAAATTGACAAGCTGTTGCTGTACAAAAACATCTAGCAGTTTTGCCACAAGTTTCAGTTACGAACAATAAACTATTGTTCCAAGTAATTATCTCTCTTAATATCTTCCCTTTAGTTTTGTCTTTCTAAGTCGACATCGTATTCATAGAAATAGAAACACTGAGGAAGACATTGAATACTTTACATGAAAATAGAATTTATTTCGTACATTTAGTGTTTGTCATAAATTCATCAAAAAATTCACTGGGCTTAGAGCTGATCCAAATACGTTTAAGCAGTTCACTGTGAACTCAAAATGTTTTTTCAAAACTGGTGAAAGTGAATAATTTCGTATTTTACTTCAAAGTTCGACTACAAGGATTTTTTTTAATCACTGGTAATGAATCCAGGATTGAAATTTCAAAATAGTGAATCCAACATGGTCAAAAAACATATGACTTTTTTAAATTCATATATGAGTAATTATCAATGAACTGGTTAATGTATTGTGCGCTGATGATAAATATACCTATATGCCGTGAAGTTACAATTAACAAACTGTTGCTGAATAAAAACAGCTAGCAGTTTTGCCACAAGTTTTAGTTACGAACAATAAACTATTGTTCCAAGTAATTATCTCTCTTAATATCTTCCCTTTAAACTTGTTTTTCTAAATCGTCATTACTGTTTATAGAAATAGAAAAGCGAGAAAAGATATCGACGTCTGAGCTGCAGGTGTCGAGAAAATGAGAAGAATGATTCAAGCCGGTTCAAGTCGCATAAAATTAAAGAAAAGGTATATAGCGCAATATATTTTCTTATAAATTTTATAGACATGACTGAGAACGGGAATCATCTTGATTTTCAATCCTGTTTCTCGCACTCATTTATTCATATATTATTTAATTTTCCATAACTAAATTTGTGTAATTTATGAGTAGTGAATATTGCACTATATAGACCCTTCTAATTTTACGCGACTTGAACCGTTCTTCTTATTTTCTCGATACTTCGTACCGCTTTTTATTCATTTCTTGACAGAGACCTTTCTTCATGTTTTTTTCGATGTAGCATTTTCTACGGTTCAGATGTCGATATACTTTACATAAAAATATAATTCTTTTTTATTTTGTACATTCAATGTCGTAAATTTCACCAGGAAATTCGCTGGGCATAGGGCTGATCTTTCCAATAAAATACTTTAGTGGCGAAAATTGTAATTTGCAAGAAATTGATAGCGTGTATCGTGAAGGATTCGCAAAGAATCTGCCACCTTTCTGGCCTTTTCATATTTAAACGGTAAAATATGTACGGAAGGATAAAGTAACGCGGTTCTACCAGTAATTGAGGTATCAGCACCACGCACATGCAAATAACATAATTAATCTGCGTGAGAAATCTCAAATGAGCAATGTTCCGTGACATGGCGAACAGGCTCGCGCAGTAAATCGGTATCAGCAGGTACTTGAATTCCGCGTATCGGCCCATATATCGATTCCACACGTAAAACAAGTAATGTCGATTATCAGCCAAAATGTACGGATGAACGAGCGTATTGGAGCATATCGTTGCGGCCATCAACGCGACAGCACTACTCGCGAAAATCCAATGCTGACGAAGGAATCGCAAACACGTTTGCCAATGAGGTATAACGTACGGCCATGAGAACAGAGAAACAAAGGCGGAGAAATAAAATATTTGACAAATATGGATCGTTGCAACATGGGCACTACGATCGCCGACCACTATGCTTCCGTTCCACGCGACAAAAGCAACGAATATGAGGCATACCGTTAAGTAAGGAAGTAGACTACCACATATCTGCGCAACAAATTTGACGAAGGACAGTGGACCTTTGCGCAATTCGTACATTAGTTGCCTCCAAATTAACTAAAAGAGGTTTAAAAAGTTTACTAGATTAATTTGTCTATAGTACTCATATCAAGCTAAAGACTAAGTATTCATAGTTCATTCTTATTTTAAGACCATCTGAAGTAATGTCTTAAGATACTAATGAAACTCTCTGGCTGGTATTCATGGTCGGTTCTTATTTTAAGACCGTCTTAAATAATGTCTTAAGACGCTAATGCGGCCCTCTGATTGATTCATGAAACCTCAAGACTGAATTTAAGACGGTCTTAAATACAAGATCTGACTATGAATACTGGCCTCTGACAGGTTCATAATATCTTAAGACTGTACTTAAGACAGTCTTAAATATAAGATTTGACTATGAATACTGATCTAAGATTGAGATTAAGGATGCTTTTCAACAATATACACAAGCTACAGTGTGTAACACAGTATACGATTCCGTACTTTCCAAGTATAATACAAGTATAATATAAGTTGACGCAATCATGCTTGATTATTATCATTTTATAAATATTAAATTTTAACATTTCATTACCAATTATTTTTTAGAAGTGATATATACTCCAATAAGAGATTTCAAAATTACATTCGAATATATTCAAACATAGATGTACGAGATCTTTTTCTTTATTTCTCTCTGATGATAAAATAAAAAGCTAAATGACATTTCAGTTACAAGTCGACACTTGTATTACTGTGTCACATAGTGTATGACTGTGTTTTGTTGCTGAGAAGCATCTTAGTCAATCAGAAGAAAGAAAACCAATATAAATTTAATAAACTTTGCTTTGATTGATCAAATTCAATCCCAATTTTCAGTCTAATGAGAGCATTCCCTCTCTTTTCACAGGTAATTGTAATGCTACTTACAAAAAAGTGCAATGAAGTACTGAGCTTTTCAGGCGAGGTAGGCTCCTTTATCCTGCTATCAAATATATCTAATGCGCGTTCTATAGTAAAGAAACCGAGCCAAATAATATTCGTCTGACGAATGAGCACGGCTAGTAAACCTGCATGATTGATTACTTTTATTTGTATAGTATTTCCTCACATGACTTAAACAGCTGCAGAATAATTACCTGTAAGAGCCACCATCATCGTGTGCTTACGTTGGTGCAGATAAAACATTAAAAGCGCCATGTTCACAGACATAACATCCGTATAATAAAAAAAGGACCAAAAATACAATGGTGGAAAAAGAGTAAGATTATACATCAGTCCGATAATCGACCATTTGTTCCACCAATCCATCTGGGACTTCCAATTCTCCTTTATAATGTTAAAAAAAAGATAGAGATTTGTGAAAGCCCCAAGTACATTTATACCTCTCATGTAAGTAATGTCGCAAAGATTAAAAGGAGACAATATCATGCTGGTAATAAAGTATAATCCTGGTAACGTAGTGATTTTAGGATCCCACTGAAAATAATTTAAGACTTACTTATTCCTGCATAAAAAAACTGCATTAAAGAAAATATACAACTTGTACACTCCAGAAGGTATTAAAACAAATTCTCTGTAATGTTTACCTCTGTAAAATTCCACGTACAATACCGTAACGTCTGAGGCACGTGAAAAGCCTCATCGATGTAATAATCCGGTTGGATACCATTCAAATACCAGAAAAGAAGTGTAGTGCTTGCAAGAAACGTGTAAAACAAGAATTTCGTAAAACCATCATAGTCCAGCTCTACGTGAACGAGAACCTCGAGGCACTTGGTTGTTTTGGTAATTATCCAGAAGACGCCTCTCATCAACGTTGATAAAATCGTGTTCATGGTTGTTTTGAAAGCATACTCAAATATTCAATAAATTCTGATAAATTCAAAAACCGCACACGTGTAAAAATGCCACGTCAAGCATCTTCACCAACACACTTCGGCTAACCTAACCAATTATCCCACGTTCTCGAACTTCTCATTGAATCGCGGATGAATATATCGGCATTATCCTACATTTATAATAAAATTAATATTCCAGTAAAATATACTGCAGTCAGAAAGAGAGTCTGATATTATCTTTGAAAGCCGGCACATTGCGATCAACGCAACGTATGGTTATGTTTACAATCCGCTCGGAGGAATTCGACGAATTGAGGTTATAGTTCGGAAAGTTCGTCGCACAAAGGTGGCACACCTGGAAAACCGCGACGTCCATTGCGAGAATTTCGCGCGCGTACGCGTAGTCAACTTCAAATCGTTCCCATTCTAACTACTTTCGCGCGATTGAATCGCCTCGATCGCACCACGCAGATAAGAACGAGTTACGTTCACGAATAAACGATAATTCGCTTGAGCGTAATCGGGACACAAAATTGCGGATAAACGACACGAATATGATAGATAAAAAGATATTAATACGAATGAATTGACTCTCGTCGTCCGCTGCTCATCGGGTCGGCTGCTTCGTCGACTGCAACTCTCGTTCAATCCGAGATCCTCGCACATCGCGACTCGTGTAGACTCGTGCTGGTTCACGGTGTTCACACTTGAACTCACGATATCACTCGCGTACAGGACGGCGAGAAAAGTACGATCAAAGTGAAATAAACGCGACGTAACTCGGCGCCGTCCCGACCGACCGAATAACTGCGACGTTTTACCGGTTTTGCGACGCGGAGTGAAGCAAACATGGCGGCCACGCATGCGCGCTGCGCGCGTTCAAACGAGTTTAAACGAAACGGTCAATGCGACTGAATTTCGCGTCGAAATCGGACGTGTTCAGCAAAAGCAGCTTTGCAACTGTTGTAAGATTCTTTAATTTTATTCGAACTTATTCTTAGTTTCTTTCATTATAAATCTAAATATATACAGTGAGTGCAATTCGTACGGAGAAAATATTTCTTTTTAAAACTTTATTTTTAAAAAGTAAATATCCAGCGAAAAATGAGTCATCGAATTGATGTCGAATCGATATAAATACGATGATTTCAACATCAATTTGACGTCGATTCGACGTTTAATTGACGATCATTTCTTGTTGGATAATTAACAATTTATTCATAAAGAATAAAATATACTGTATGTTTCTTAAAATTATATATACCAAAAGGATGTGTATTAATTATACAAAATATATCATCTGAAAAATAAGCGAAAATTAAAAATTGTATTGTTTGAATGCTTAAAAGATATTCGTACAAACGAGAAATTTAGCTTCTAAAATCAGGCATACTTGCGAAGCTCGTTTGTTTATGTTATAACAGAATGTATTCATTGTATAAAATTGCTAATTAATGTTTATTTTCTACAAATATTTTTTTATAACAAATTTCCTTGTACGAATACTTTTTGCTCTCATTGTATATAAATTTATTATATGTTAAAGTTTTATTAATATATCATATATAAACGTTGAGTCTTTTACAGTAATTGTGATATAGAAATCTGATATTGACCAATTTATTAATGAAAATGTTATTAATTACTTATTTGAAATACTAAAAGTGCTGGACGACAGTGCTTTATTTTTATTGAAATATGCTTAATATTTATTCTTTTTTAGATAAATTATGTAACTTTTGTTCCGTGAAATTAATCAATGAAATTAATCTTTTAATTAATATAAATAAAATTTTCCAGACAAATAGATTCAGGTCAGTAATTATGTTATAAATTTTGACATTTTTTAATCTATGCAAATGTGGCAGAAGTCAGAAATTAGAAAGTCTTGTATAAAAAAATAACAAAGGGATCTCAAAGCAAAGGATTTACTTGAATAAAAGGCGATACGTTTATTAATTATTTCTTTTTGTTATTTTCTCCACATAATTCTTTTACATATCACGCGAAGACATCACGATTTAGCAATGGTCATTTTTGTTGTGCCGAAAGACAAAAGATTGTAAAAAAAGGAAAGGTATTTCAACCCTTAAGTACGGATTTTGCTTTTCGTCATTTGATAGGTATGCTCAACGATTGAACGTATATTTTTCAAAAGTTTACGTTCTTCCTTGGCAAAAATGAAAATTGAGACGTAAGTTGAATATACGGAAAGAGTGGCAGAAGCGTAAACAAAGACGAAATTCTTTCTCAATTTTCCAGAAGACAAAAATTGAGACAACAAAAACGTGAAAGAGATCCTTATCTTCTTTTACATTTCGTTATCTCAGTTTTCGCCTCTTAAAAGCTTTGTTTACGCTTCTATCATTTCTCTCCTTATTTTCATCCGTATAGAAATTTAATACTTATATCAGCAAATTCATCACTTATTTCAAATATTAAAAGTACTATTTATAGTGAATAATATTTTTAATACTCAAAATATGTGATTAATTGACCAGTAATAATATTAAATTTCTACGAAAACAAATTACCTTCCGATTTTTTTATTTTCGCCAGACTTGTGTTACGATTTATCGAATTTTTTTCCATCGCGTGAAGAAACATGTAAAATACGGAAAATTGCATATCCGTTTTCTCAATCGAGGAGTCATGGGGTTATGAAATGATCAACGTTGCTTCATACTTAAGGGTTAAGCCCCGCGGTTGATTGTTGCTAATGGCATCGAACTTATTAAGTCTGCTTTTATTCACTGGATATCAAGTAGGTGTAAAAGCTACCCTCGAAAGATGATGGCAATAATCTATGGCACGAACTACATGACGATATATATATATTAATTATTTTCTAACATGTATCGCCGCGGAATAATATGCGCGAGCAAAAATTACACATGTAATCCTCGCTTCTATTGTCATACAAAAAAAAATAACAGTAAACACTTTGAGACTCTTTATCGTAAAATCATAATAAAGTCAATTTCTCAAAATACATTTTGTTTTTCGTGAATCTTTTACGAGTTCCGCAAACTTATAAATGCAATCTTCTGAAGAAACGTAGAGATAACTCGCAAAGGAAAACCGGACTATGCAAATTATGCGGCTAAAACGAAATGTAACGTTACAATATCATATAAGCGTAATTCTTGTAAAACGCAAAAATGGAAGACAAGAATATGTAATATATATATATATGTTCTATATACTTATAAATTTTACAAGCAAATTCGCTTAATGGGGCCTACGATGACTAAAGTTAAGAAGTTATTTAGTTTCAAGCATATATCTTATATTCGAAAATCATCTAAAGAACATCGCTCGTACCGAGAGCTACACATTAATAACCAATATTTCAATGTCCTATAGTTACGTACATTTATATTTTGTGTCGCGGAATGGATGTCAAGTAAGTGACTACCAAAATAATCCTCTTTTCTTTTACAGTACTCGCATACAGATAACTGAAGGAAAATATTCACGCGCTCCTCGCATTCCGCGTGCGTTTATATCGCAGATATGGTATTAGGATATGATGATACAGTGTCGATTGCTCCCTTCGTAGTCTGGTTCGTGTAGGATAATTAATAACTAAACTGATTATTTGGCTAAGATAAAAACAGAACACTTACTCTGAGTACGCAAGAACACTTCGTCAGGATCGCGTCTCGCGATCGTTGCCATATTGTACGATTAAAAATGTAGATACCCGTCAACGGCGTATAATATTCCTCAAAATTTTATGATAACTTATGTATAAAAACTCAAAAATTAGAAATCTCAGACATGACACGGCTATAACAAGTAATATCATGTTGTCGTCCATATTTATTCATACTCTTAATCCTAATCCTTAAATTTAATTTATTTTCTTGTATATATATTCTTTTCTTCAATTCTCGGACTCTCGCAAGTCCAAGAAGTTATATGGCAATATTTCAACGATAAGCCGCGCAATAAGTGTGCCGATATGTTTGCCGTAGGTGATCGGTCTTTCGATCACAAAGCTCTTAAAGAGATGCGGTTTAACGATTACTAAACACCCCAGCTCATATCGACGTAGTCGCGTGACAATCGGCTCCGTTTTGCGTTTGCTGCGTGCTGTGCGGTAATGTCGCGAGCTCGTTCCTGCTGAGATGCTGAACGATTCCTGCGCCAAGCGAGTCACCGATAACATTAATGGTTGTTCTACATCGATCTCTGCAAATTATGCAAGCGCATCGTGTTTAACATTACAGATATTTCTTTTAAATTTAGTGTAAGGAAGAAAGGAAGAACACACTCACAGTAACCAGTCAACCGCGATAATTAAGAAGACATCGTTGGCCGGAAGTCGTACTGTGTCCAACACCATCACCATGGTCACTAGGCCGGCCTGCGGAATTCCAGCCGCGCCGATACTGGCAGCGGTCGCCGTGATACTAGAACAAGTATTAGATGCAATAAATTGGATACATGGAATAAACGGTTTTGTTAAAGTATCTAAAATTAAATTTTGTTAGATATAAACGTCAAAATAATTTCATTGGATTCAATCAATAATTATTAAATTCTTTGGAATAAAATCTTATTCTAAAGAGTGAAAATTGAGCTAGCCTTGAAAAAGAGTAGCTCAATTTTCAATGAGTGAGAATTATAAAAATTTTAGAGAATATCAATAATTATGTAGAGGGTTCAAAGTGATTGATAGAATTTTTTGCAGCATCTCTTATAATGATTCTCTACATAATTATTTTGATGATTCGACAAAATTATTTTCAACTCTGTATCTAGCAAATTTTTTAATATTTCAGCAAAATTCTTTTCGTGTAGAAATACATCTTTCTTTGCGAAATGAATTTCTAAGACTTAAATGAATGGGAAAGCTCACCTTACCGCTACCAGCTGTCCAAAGGAAAGAGGAACCTTACGCACTTGAGAGATAAAAATGGCAGCTACAGCTTCGTACAAAGCGGTACCGTCCATGTTTACGGTAGCACCAATTGGCATGACGAATCTGGTGACACGAGAATCGATGCCATTTTTGTCTTCGAGACAACTGATGGCAAGTGGCAGCGTCGCCGAGCTCGAAGACGTGCCGAAGGCAGTGACGAGCGCTTCCGCCATATTCGCTATGTATGAATAAGGGTTTTTCTTTGTGAGAACAAAATATATCCCAGGCAACACCAGGAAACCATGTATGATCAGGGCGATCAATACGGTCAGGAAGTACATTCCGAGTTGGCCGACTACCTCCTCGAGCGACTTCATCTCCGTGATCTTTGAAGCGACCAGAGAGAGCACGCCGATCGGCGACAACCTGCATACATAACACACAGAAATATTCTTGAGATTTTTAATTCAGAGATTTTATAATTCGACGAAGATTTAAGCGAGAGTCGAGACGATAGAATTATTACGACAAAATTGCGCGATCATCGACGATTACGCAACGATAGACGTTCTGCGAGTTTTCCTTGAGAAAATTATACGTGTCTCGAGAAGCGGATACTTAGCTATTACTTACACAGAAAAAATGTTACGATTGCTACAATCGGAAATAATGATAATTTTTGCCCATCAATATATATAGCTATGATAACCGTAAGATGGATATATCTTTACAGCCGTTAAGATATGCCAATCTTATGGTTATCACAATCGTACTATAGTTCTTATATCCAAAAAATGTATTGATGGGTGACTTTTGGTCTTGGCAAACGTAGCTATTTTTTCCGTGTAGCTATTACAGTCTTACCATATGACCCAGTTTGTAATCAGCATCATAGCGCCGGATAGCGAGTCAAAGAAACTCAACAATGGCTTCGCCTGCGGTCCCATTTTACCGAGGGTGATGCCCATCACCGTCGCAAACACAACGAGTCCAAGAATATTTGAACCAGAGACCATCTTCTGCTCCAGTTCCCATTCCTCCAAAGGAACTAAAAACAGGTAAAATATTAATTTAAACTAATTAAGGGGTCGATTCTGTAACTCTTAAACGACAGTCGTTGATGTCATTACGCAGCTTTTTTACTCTACATAATGTCTGCGCAACGACATCAACGACTGTCGTTAAGAGTTACAGAATCGGCCCCTAAAATAAAAAATTAATTGATGCTGTGTAATCTAACACCTTAAGCAGAACAAAGTTATTATGATATCAAAATGATGTCAAAATGACTTCAAAATGATCGTTAAAAGTCATTTTTCAATCATTTCCGATTAATTTTAATGTCATTTTGACGTTATCACGACTTGTTATTCTATTTGAGCTTACATTACACACACACACACACACATACACACACACACACACTCGTATGGTTTTTTTTTTACATAACTATTAACTCGATGAAAATATATTGAAAAGTTTCTGACACTCTAAAATTATATCTCAATTTTCTTTGATCTCTTTAATAATTATAATTAAATAAAGATTGATATATATATATATATAATGTTCTATACTTTAGATAAAAATATACATATGAAAAACTTTATTTTAAAATTGAAATAATATATGGTAAATATAATATGTGTACACAAAAAAAGAACGGTTTTTTTTACTAAAAAAAATTTAGATATACTGATCTAAAAATAAATTTTATTGGATTATTAAAATAATTATATAAAACTTTCAAACTAACTGCTATAATGTTAAAATTTTTTACTGGATTATTCATCAAGTCTGAATTTCTTATATAATTGTTTTGACAGTATGACAAAATTTATTTTTAGATCTGTATCGACCTAAATTTTTAGACAGTTTAGCAAAATCGTTCTTTCCATGTATAAACAGCATTCGCATACTCCCTAAATTCTTTGGAGTGGAACTTCTGAAAAAAGAGTAACTCAATTTCCAATTTTTAAGAGATTTATTCTAAAAGTTTTAAAAAGTCTCTCTCTCTCTCATTTAATAAATTTATAAGATGAGGTGTCCTATGCGAGTAATTAAGAATTAAAAAAACACTTTTTTAACTAAAAAAATTATTACCACTGATATTCTCAGGTGGCTTAGGCTCAGTTCGACTTTGGGCGATACAGGCTTCCACGAGATTTGGCGGAAACATGTTTCTGACTAGGTCCATTAACGTGTCGACGGTAGAAACGTTTTGCGCTGGCCTTTTGCTCTCCGAGGCGGAACTACCGACACCAGGTTGAATCGAGACAACCAGAATTATACCTAGGGTCAAAGTTTAACAGACAACCATTACTCGCTATCAGCAATTAGACATTGCGAATTGTTTTTTTTTTTCTGTTCGCTTAATTAGTCGCGGAAGCAAACGAGAGTTGAGAAAAACATTATGTCGATCGCAATAAAAACCGGCGAGATAAGTACGATGACACAATCACAAGAAATAGAAATTCAGTTGGAGCGATAATGCTGCAAAAAAAAAGAACAAGATGATTTCCAGAGAAAAAGAAGAGTATGCGATACGTAAGCAAAATTTCGAGTTATAACCGGTTTAATCTCCGTCTAACGCAATATAAAACGTCATATTTGTTCGTTGCTAGAAAATACGGTCAAATAGCGCGAACTTTCTGTGATAATGTCCCCGAGTAATCTGTCGCTAATTTGTATTGTCTGATGCGTCGTTTGCGCTTCATTCTCTACTTGGTCGTGTTAATTAACCGAGATGAGTCATGAGAATTCAGAGCTATCAGACGCATTCCCTCTGCGACCAGATATATGTAAATGCAACGGATACTACTGTGTAGCATCTGTCACTTGTCGCATCGCATTCATCGTTTCTGAGAAATGCATTATTGTCCGCGCTGTCGCGATAATCGAGATGCCGCGATTCTTTAATCGCGATTTGCGCCATTGATGCGAGCAATCGTTTAACCTTATGATAAGTTATTTAAAACTCTAAATGCGTCCAGCTGTGCGTAAAGATATGCAATTACATTAAAGTATCGATTAAAGGACTCCGCATTAATTATATGAAAAATTAGGTCACGATGGAATGAATTATTTTTCACATATAAATCGATATTCACAGTCTTCTTATTTTAAGATCGTCTTAGGTGATGTCTTCACACAAGCAGAACAACAAGTTATTATGATATCAAAATGATGTCAAAATGATCATTAAAAGTCACTTTTCAATTATTTTCGATTCATTTTAATGTCATTTTGACGTTATCGTGACTTATTGTTCTGCTTAAAAAAATACTAATACAACTCTATGATTGACTTATGACATCTTATGATTATGCTAGTCTTAAATATAAAAACTATGAATACTGTCGATAATAGAGCTTATAATGTACTAAACAAAGATGTTATAGATAAGTACAAGTACTATTAAATGGATAGTTTACGAGCTATTAAAAGTGTAAAATTTGTACTTATAGAGATTCACCTTTGATACACAATGACTGAACCATCATTCATTACTCAATAATAATTAATTGTTGAGCTATGGTGTATCATAGGCGAATCTCTATGGATACAAGTTTTACATCTTTAATACATCAGTCGAAAACTATCTACTATTGAACCTTGTGCTTGTGACATCTTATTCACATTATTAAGTTACATTATACGTAAAAACTAATACATTTTACCGCATAGAAAAAATGATTTTGAAGTATCTAAAAATGTAACTAGATATAGAGCTGAAAATAATTTTGTTTAGACATCAAAATAATTATATACGACACTCAAACTGGTTGGTAAAATGTCGCAACTTTTTGCAGTATTATCATAAATGCTTAAGCATTCTACAAAATTATTTTTATGATCTAACAAAATTATTTGCAAATCTGTATCTTGCTAAACTTTTAGATACTTTAGCAAAATCGTTCTTCTTTGCTCTGGATCCCGTTTTCTATACAATTAGTACAGAATACTTTGGACGTTTCTTTGGCTTATCGCTCTGCTCTTATTAGAATTAAAGTAATCTCGACATGCCGCGGCTAATGAATAATTGTACTGATTGTAACGTTAAATTGAGCTTTCACTAACCTAAAATGACCGCAGAGATCGTCGTGATCATGTAATAACCAATCGCACGCGCACCGATCCTGCCACTGAGCGATAGATCCAGAGAGCCAATGGCCGATATCAGACTCGAGATGATTAACGGCAGGATCAAGCTCTTGAGCATCCGGAGGAATAGGTCGCCGAGGTAATTGATGTACATGATCTCGCGAGGCGTCCATTTCTCACGTGTATTTCGCAAAATGATGCCGAGTATCACTCCACCGACAACGCCGCCAACTGTCAATATAGTTAGAGCGTTATGGCCCAGACAAGCTCGCATCTTCTGCCCCGTAGTCTGCGGCCTCTTGCTGGGTTCTTGGGGATAGTACGAACTCCTCTCCTTGATCTTGCCCTGATTCTCCGCCCCCGATAGCGGCGACCTGGAATAAATTGATAACATTTGCTTCTCTTCTTTATGAAACTTTTTCTCCTTTTATTTAGTAATTTCTATTATAAATGTTTATGAGAATATTGCGTCGTAATCTTATTATTTCAAATAATTTATTGATAACGAGTCGGTTTTGGGAAATATGAAATTTAATACTTTTTAAACCAACGCACAAATTATTTTTGTTACGCTTGCTAATTCTGAGTTTCGAGCACAAGACAGTATCTTGCGAAATGATAAGATTATTTGATGTATATACACATATATTTAATTTAATTTAAAAGACAGATACTCTGCATGCACAGTCGACATGTAAACGTGTTGACTTCAAGACGATCACTGTAACAAACAGCAACAGATGCTCCGAGATTTATGCTCTGAGATTTTCCGCAGTAGACGTGACTCTTTTACGTTTTTTTTCTAAACCTTAGAAATTATGAAATAATGACGTAAATTCTTCGTAATTTACGTCTATTCTTATATATATATGTCAACAGGCAACGTAACTATGAGATAAATGCGTTAATTTTTCATCTATTTTATAGGCTATATTTCTTCCAAATTACACTAACAGTAGGTATAATAATCTTCCGGAAATTTTTAGTCACTTACGAAATATTCACAGATAATCCAATTAATATCAGTCTTATCGTCAATTTTGAAAATATATGATTTTTGTTTATAAATTTTACTCTTATGATCAACGGAAGATAAATCGATAAGACTTTTATTGCCATATAATCTTTATTTTTTATCAGGATTTATCTCAAGTTGCAAAAATCAAAGTACAAAATAATAAACAAAAAGTAATGTAGGCTTTAAAAATTCAAATTTCAGTTTTTGCGAAATTTATTTATTCTTGTCACGATTTTATTGTAAGATGTCTCATAAAAATTTATATTTCCGTGCCTCGCTTAAAATCAAATAAATTTTGCTTATCCTGTGTATTCCATCAGCGTTCATAATACTCGCATCAAAAATATATAAACAGTTTATTAGAATATAAAATTATTAGAATTTATTTTAGAAAATTAATATGTCATAATATGTATCGCTAAATATCGCGAGTGACATTTAAAATATTTTCATTGTACTTCTTTCAATTTCAGAACAATCGTACTATTTACTTCAATAATTAACACTTCGTTATAGTATGTGGATCTGAGATTAACGCTCAGTTTGCACGTTTCTCGATTGTTGGCAACCGCACTTCACACGACGACGTTGCCATAACACAATTTTGTTAAAATCCAGATTTATTACACTTGGCACTTTTCAGAGATCACAAGTCTCTTCTGCGATTAACTGGCAACTAAATCATCAACTATTTCAAGCTGACAACGTTCCAATCCTCCAATTCTCTGAAGCATACCAAACGCAATTTCAACAGAATCCACGAGGAAATGTATCAAAGAGTTAACTGCATAAAAAAATTCGCGTATCATGCAGACAGAAAAAGTTTTTTTTAAATTAAACAAATTCCTGCATTGGAATACCAACCAAATGGATGTTTAAATTAACAATGTTATTTGCAATAAAATTCAATTTTTTTTGATTAAACAAAACATGTTTCATTTAAAATTAAATTTGTTTCAATGAAACAAATTAATGTAAATGGAACTCTCGAGTCCAAATAAATCTTTTTCTCTGTGTGTAAGAAAAAAATGCAAGATATTCTCGATTTGAAATTGAAAAAGTAATACGATTATGACGATCGATTAGAATTAATTAATAATGATTTCGGACAGCAGAAAATCCTTCGAAATCCGTCGAAATCCATTGAGGCGAATCACCTTTATCGTGATAAAGTAAATATACGAGAAAATACACGGAGGTATTGACAGTATCCACGAGCTATATTCGTATGAAGCTGGTAAGAGACGAGAAATTATACTGCGAATTTTCATCGTAGAGTCTCCTTTATATTACAACGATATGTCGGTTTCCCATAGGATAACGCTATGCATTTGTTCTAAGAAATGTATGTTTATTACTACTTTATTACGCGCTTTTACTGCAAAGCTTTTATGGAATTAAGAGCAGATCACGCAAAGGCTTTGTTTATTCTAATATAACGCAGGCGTAGCTTTACAAAGTATACATGGATTTACAAAGGCGTGACTTTACAGATTATATGTAACAAATTAATTTGTCGCATTAAAGTACACACGAAGCTTTCTCATTATTTTTTTTTATTAAAAGTCAAAACTTTAATTTGCTAATTTCTATTAAATTTCAAATACAATATTTTCGAAGAACGAGACGTGATAAATTGGAATGCGGAATCGCTGATTATTTATAGACGAACCACATTTCGTAGTATTCGTCAAGTGTTCCCATGCGGCAGAAATAAATACGCCTCTATGCAATCACTTTTGTAATAACTCACGACTTTAGTAATAACTCAAGTGTCTAGCAGTTTTTACGATGCGGTTTTAATACAAAATTGGTTCCTTGCGATTATACGTGTGACGGCATAAAGGGTAACAAAAGGCACAAGAGATGAAGTATGAGTTCATTTGCGTAAGCTAGAAGAAATTATTAGAACGAATACGTAAATCTGTCAATATGCCTTAGACTTATACAAAAATATTATCGTCGTAAAATGTCACCGACCCTCGATGACAAGTACCTCGCACGTGCCGCTGAGAAAACCGGTCAGAGATACACTCGCCAGCATGAATTTTTTATTCGCGTCATTTAGTTGCGTCATCGATCAAGGACGCAGCTTGTACGTATCTAATGCTATTGTAGAAGAACGCTGTTGCGTCCTAATGCTAATGATCCTCATGCTAATGATGTCAGTGTTAATAAAACATCGATAAGGGCGGGAGCGCCAAAGTCTTGCATAACGCATAGCTCATAAGAAAATGAACCAATTAAAGTTCTGTATTTTCTTCCTTTCCATGAAAAAAGTCTTTGATTGGTTGAGTTTCTCATGCTTTAAGCGTTACGCAAAGATCTGTGCTCCGGCTTTAAGAGGACCCTAGCCGTTTGTATTACCGATTAAATCGTAATTTTTGTATAATAATTACTTTTTCCCTCTTTTACAGATTCGAAAATCTTTTTCCAGGATTAATACGTGTTTGTGAGGTGGAGTTTGTGCCGAGAACGACAAAAAATTTCGAAACTGAATTTCGTTCTCGGCATAAACACCACCTCACAGATGTCCCAGGTAACACCTATCGGTTCATATACGTTTTATATACGTTTTCTATACGTATCTAATGTTTCACAAACGTTTAAGAAACGTATATAAAACTAACATGTGCTACTGGGGGTATTAATGCGTATACTTTAATCCCGGAAAATGATTTTCGAATCTGTAAAAGAGGGGAAAAATAATTGTTATACAAAAATTAATTATGATTTAGTCGGTAATACAGACAGCTTTAGGATCCTCTTAAATCTTGATTTCGACAATTTTGTTGATGTGGAACGATCGAGTATCAGATTACTGTAATTTAACAAGAGCGATATTCGGAGCTTGCAGTGTAAACTAATGTTGTATACTCGGCGATTAGTTCTCTCTGCCAAGTTCTTCCAAGTAACCCGAATCGAAGATGTTCCGGGTGCACGACTTGTAAGTGTTATATGTAGATCCACGAGGTCGTAAAGCCAGAAATACATAGCAAAATAGTAAGGCAATAAGACATAAACAGTAAGCGAATCAATCAATCACAATAGAAAACGTAAAGCCGTAATCACACTACTAGTTGCCAGTTGCGATTCCTAGTTGTCGGTTCTATTTTAGCCAATCACGATGCAGTTTGTCCGTACTTGTTGCATCGTAATTGTGCTAAAGTAGAACCGTCAACCGGCAATTGTAGGGTATAGTAGAATGCCAGTTTCTGATAGGTTGAAATTTCTTATTCCCTGTTCCTATTATCTGTGCTTTTCAATTGTGCAAGTCCCTCGCGATTCGCGCCTATCGAAACTATCTCTCCATAGCTCATTACTAAACATCGGATTATACGCATAATCAAAGTGTTAAAATATGCATGCAAATATTAAAAAAGACCAAAATATGCATAAAATATGTACTATCAAAAAAGAAACGACTTAATTTAAGATATATATTTTATTACTTTAATGTCAAATTGAACTAACCCAAATCAAATTATCTCTTTGAATTAAATAAATTACAATCAAAATATTGGAAAAATTAATGAAACATAAGAATTTAAAAATCAACGAAACATAAGCGTTTATAACTAATTAATTACATTATATTATAATTTATAATTCTTATGACAATACACTACAATACACTTTTCTAAATTTTCAATTTGAAATTTGTGACGCTTATCTTATTAATTATCTTTAATTTTATCTTAATTAAGACGGTCTCAAAATAAAAACCGACTATGAATACCGGTCATCGTTTCCAAAGTGCGTGTTTTACGCGCCTATTTTAAATTACCATATTTGTAAAAGTTTTGACGTTTTATACAAAAATGTACACTTTCAATAAAAAAATTGTTATTATATGCAAAATACTGCAAACAGTCCATTATATGCATATGCAAATATGCAAATGCATATAATCCGATGTCTACTCATTATCCTTTCATTACTAGTGGAGTGTCCAGGACACTTCAGCCTTATAAATTCATTAAATATATGATTGCTATACTGAAAGAAAAGATTGGTTGCTGCAACAAGTTAGACGGTTAAATATGACATAGCATTTTTAATTGGCTGTAGCAATCAATTTTTGGTTGCGTTAGTCAATCGAAATTCTATACCGACATTGCGGATAGGCTAACACAACCAACAATTGGCTGCAGCATCCAAAAATTGGTTGTTACAGCCAATTAAAAATGCTATGCCTTATTTTACCATCTAATTTGCTGCAGCAGCCAATCTTTTCTTTCAGTGTACACATATAATGTGTAGCAATATCATATATTAATATTATATATTTAACCCTGCAAGATGTATTGTCGTGAAAAACTAGTATTTTAATTACGTATGATTTTTAAGTTTAGA